CAGCGCTTTTGGATTCTCCCGCTTTAGGACTCTGAAGAGTATACACTGTCTATAGCGCTAATGGGCTCTCACGCTTTAAGAACAAAGAATATTCATCGCATTTTGCGCTTTGGGGCATTCACGTTTTCAGAACGAGGAACATACATTGTCCTTAGCATGTTTGTCTCACTTATCATTCGTATGTAATTATGTATGCAGTTCACCAACTGTATGACTCGTAAACCATTGTTTCACGACCAGTACGAGTCGTACGAGTCGTACGGGTCGTGGACTTGTATACACACTTTAAGTCTCTCTAATGACATACAGGTCACCAACTGAACGACTCGTAAACCATTGTTTCACGACCTGTACGGGTCGTACGAGTCGTAGGGGTCTTTTTCAGCCATTCCCGGGTCGTATCTGTTCGACAGTGTTGGACGAGGATGGAGGGAGTATTGTAGAACCCAACATGTAAGTCGCATGCGTTCTAGCATCGTTAATGCTATGTTTCCATGCGATTTTTTGTGCCATGTTACGTGACCGAGTTTTTTCTGGTAGCGCCACTTCACCCTTTTTAGTTCAAAACTGAAACGTTACTGTGGCTGCGTATCTTTTCGAATTACCCATAGGTCGGTTCAACAAATACCATCTGCTGTTTTCAAATTAAAATAGTGTGTTTGTCAGGGTTCAAATAAAGAACGGAAACGTATAGCTTCTCCTAAGCGGCTTTTCTTTAATTTCTTGCTTTAATCATAAAAATTACAATTTCCTCGATTTTGATTGGTTTAAAATGCTCCTATTTTCCACTAATTCACTTGCCAAGTTGTTATCGGACAGTGTTATTGGACAGTTTGTTATTGGACAGTTCAATAAGCCAATCACATTCAAAGTTGTAGTTTAAATCAGCCAACCACATTCAAAGTTGTAGCTACGTGCGTGCGTGCGCTTGCTTTTGTGTTTTTGGCTCCTAATTGCCGGTAGGAGGCGCGGTGGCCTAAGAATGTTTACATCTCCTTTGTTGGTACTCTAATGCAAATTTTCTCTTGCTTTCATAACTTGGCTATTCTTCTTTTCTCGGAGATTGTAATTTTTTATGGTTAATTGGTAATAAGACTTCGTGTCGTCCAATTCGGTCTGTAATCATACTCGTGATAAACAAATCGGACTCCCGCTGCGCGGTCGTCCGATTTTGTTATCACTCTTATGACTCCATTCAGTCTTATTACCATTACTCTTGTTATCGGTAAAAAGAAAATTTACGTTTTGAGTAAAACAAAATCGTTTCTCTTGCATTTCTTCATCAGATGTATAACTTTCTTTATCTCCAGCGGTGGAAGAAAAAACAAGCACATCATCGACGTGTTCTGGACAAAACAAGGGTTTCATTTTACATACCAATTCGAGGAAAACAAAAGTATCAAGTTACAAAGTTATCGTGAAAAGCTGAATTGCCATGTTTGCTGCTGCAAAGTATTATAGATCGTTTTCACGTGACGTCATCACTTTTTAAAATCCAAAACTAAAGAGCCACCAAAGTTTTTATCCTCGTCAGGCATAAGAGGCGGTATATT